GGCTGAAAAGGCGAGCATGTTTGTTGTGACGGGGATTCGAACCCGTGACCCTCAGATTGCGAGTCGAGTGCCGTAACCACCTGGCCATGCCGGGCCACCCTTAGTATTGTTCGTCCCGAACAATAGCCACTTACATTAAACTAATAAACAATTAACAATATCTTAATTAAATGTACAGAATTTACAATCACAAAATTAAAATTCAACAAAGTCTTTTAATTTTTCGGGACGTATCTTCCGCACTGGTCTCTGTCTCGTTGGCTTCTTCGTCATGTGGGGTTCATCTGCTTCATCAGGAAACGTCCTATCATTGGTTACAGTCACATCAGTAATAGTAACTTCATCAAGGCCTTCACTGTTTCCCTTCTCAAAACCGAATAGAGTGGCTTTTTCAGGTGACACGTCTTCAGCAGCGTCATTTGTTCCATTGTTCACTTCATCCCAACTTAAATGTCCTGGACCGTGATAACGCCAAAGCCTGTTGGCATGCACCACCTTTGGCTTACCTCACCGACCACATTTTATCCAGAAAGTCACGTCTGAGAGATGATCCACTATGTTATATGGGCCTTCCCATGGAGAAGACATCTTAGGAGACTTTCCTTTGGTCTTCCTGGGATTATACAACCACACCTTCTCTACTGGTACAAAGCTAACTACAGTAGATCTCTTATCATAAGATAACTTCATCGAATCAGCAGACGTTTGCAAGTTTGAGCACATTTGATGATGAATATCATCCATCCTTTCCGATAAAACTTTCACGAACTCTGACACATTTTCAGGCAACTCTTTGTAAGGTGAGTGTCCTGTTAATAGATCCACTGGCAACCGAAGTTCCCGACCAAACATCAACTTTGCTGGAGTGTATCCAGTGGTTTCATACTCTGCTGTTCTATAGGTCATCAATAGTGGAGGGAGTAAGACATCCCAGTCATCTTGGCGGCTATTACAAAACTTTGCCAATTCCTGTCCCAGAAGGATTCACTACACAGTAGACACCAAACAGGTAAAAGAGGCATTGACTGACACTAACATACCATATACACTGTACCAAAGGAAAAAAAAAAGAGAAAATAAACAAGCTAAAAAAAGAAAAGAATACAAATAACATTGTTACGTATTAGATTTTAAATGGTCGGAAATTGAGTTAACTGATAAATTTAAGTTTAGTAGTTAAATTATACATTAGATTTAGAAGTTAAATATATGCCGATATATTAGTGAATTTACGATGTTTGCCAACAAGATTGATACACACCGTTTTCGTTTTTAACACAAATACGTTTTAATATACACACAACAATACAATTTACAGTAATAATTATTACAAACAAAATTTATAAACAAAAGTTTCACAAACTTACAAACAATATAAAACCTTCTTTCTAGTTTGGAACTCCCTTGATATTGTTACGACAGTGGGGGTCACGTGACAAGTATTCTAGAAGATTCGCTAGTGTGTTACGACAGCGTTGCGTCAACTGACGCTGGTAGCACGTGTTGAGAGTCTTAGAAGTTTCTAGAACAGGCAGTATTATCGTATATAAGTGCGCTAGACAGTGAGAGAGACAGACGGAGTCGAAGCAGTAGCGGAGACGAAGTAGGCAGAGAGAAAGAAAGACAGCGATTACGGTCGGCGGGAACTGAGGATAGCAGACACAGAGATCGGAACTATAGTTGGCGGGACGGACTATTAAGTCTAAGCGCGATAGAAAGTGAGTGAATAGTGTATGTAACTGTAAAAATTAAGTACATT